AGCATTCCTCAGGACAGCAGTGATATCAAGACACCACTATAATTATTGCATTCCCCAAAACCAATCTGGCACCTCTCTGACTCTTTTCAAAGTGTATTATAAAAGTATATAATTAAACTTTGTTCTGCAGCGATACAACTAAAAGAGCGATGACTTTATAATGTATTGCGAAGAGCAGGAAAGCTAGTAATAAGGTTCTAGACTGAGGTGAATAAACTTCAAGTATTAGTTTCTATTGTGAATTACTACTGTTTTATAGAAGGGCATTAAGTTAGGAAATCAAACGCGTTTCTTAGAAGTTAGACACGTGGTTTTAATCCGGGGAGTTGTTTGGAATATCTTAATTCAAACTACTTTTATCTCAATGGTTTAGTTAAAAAAGGTTTAGTTGCATCCAAAAATATCTTGTATTAATTTATTTCTTCCAAAAGTATTGATAGCTTTATTCCAACGCCTTTACTCCTTATAATCCCACATTCCTTGGAGGAGTGGGAATGCGTTAGGACAGACTATTTGTGAGTTGATCAAATACAGATGTTGCTGTTAGCCCTGTAATTATCTTACATGGAAATTCTACTTTTTGTTTCTGCCAATTGGGTTGTGGATGTGCACCATGGTGCATTTTTTTTTATTATTTTCTTGCCTAAGGCAATACACATGTTAATAAATTTAGGTGGGGGGGGGGGGGGGTCTCATTTTATGCTATGGTTGCATTATTATACTGCATTAGCAGTAAGAATGGGAAAATAGACAATTATTATGCATGTTGTGTGGTGCTGAATTCTGTGCAAGCTATACTTTAAGCGAATGAGTTCTAAGGACTTGCTGAGCATGTAATTAAACCACTCAACTGCCTCTTGAGCCCAGCAACATTGGAAAGCAGGATGGGTAAGTCAGAGAAATTGAGTGGCTGATGGAATGGCCCTTTTTATGATATGATGCGCATGTGGAGTTAACGAGTTTCTTCATGTCCTCAAGCCTTTCCCTCGCACTCCACCACTTTAGGTGCTAAATAGCCTTCCGTAAGAGCTACTCACAAGGAAAATCGTATCACCACCCCATGTTATCCCCCTGTGAATGAAACAAGGCACGTTTTGATACAATACCAAAATTATTTATTAAAATGGTCAGAAAATGTTGATCAATAATTTACGTTTGAGCAACATTGTATTAACGTACAAAAATTTGCATTTACAAGCTCCATACGTTGTAAGGCCTTCATGTCATTTACAAAACAATCCTAGTTTTGTTTTAAAAAAAGGCATGAGGTTACTTGACAATCCTTAAATAAACAAAAAATAAACACTTAAGATAAAGACAAAAGGCTGGTCAGCAACTTCATTCCCTCCAGCTAAGACCAATGCTTTATTTTTGTGGTCCACATATTGAAACATTTGGAAACGTGCAGGAACAATGTGGCAGTACAAGGCTCATAAATAACACACTTGTTTAGTAATACAAACGATGAAAATGCCCCTGGAAAAATAAAGCAATAGATATATAAGAGCAACAAAACAGAAGAACCTAATATTAGCCTTCTACATACCAGAGAAAACTCCAGAACAATAAAGTTCAGTGGAAGCAAAAGTAAAATCTTTTTGAGTAGCCTGAAGCCTGGCATGTTCAAAGTTTCAATCCTTTCCCAAGGTGGAACAAAAGCATTTCAAGTTGCCTTCAGATTATGTTAGAAAGACATTGTATGATGCAACAAACCAATGACATTATTGCCTTCGGGTAAGTTAACTCCATGCAATATTTTTATTGTTGCAGACAATGCAGAGTACAGACCTCCCTTCATTTTATCCCCCACCAAATATTTGAATTTAATCGTCAAGAGGCTCAATATTTTCATTGTGACCATGTATGACAGTTGCCCTTGAAATCAATCTGCTGGGAGACACACACACAACATAACACACAGTTACATTTGTATAGCGTCTTTCACGTCGGAGGACATCCCAAGGAGCTGGAGAGACAGAGTTACGGATCCAAGCTGGGGGTCGAGGTGGGGGAGGGTGGAGGGAGAAAGTGAAGCCTGGTGAGGACTGGGGTGGTGGGCCTATGCAAGTGGAGTTTCAGATAAGTTGGAGTTCATATGATAGTGGGAGCTAGGGAGATTGGCAACAAATGCATTTAAACAGTCCACTGGTGAGGTAATGAAAGCATAGATAAGGGTTTCGGTGGAGTTTGGTGTGAAATAGGGAAGAAAAAAGTAGCCTTGGTCAGGCACTGGAGTAAGAGAGCAGAGGATCTTGATGGGCAACATGCTGATCATCACTGGTCTGTTTAACACTTTGAATAGCAGGTGACACCAGACCAATGGAGAGCAGAGATCGGTGAGTTCACTAATTTATAAGATCTTTTTTTGAATGACAATTGTTGGTCAGTTTTTTCATTCAACATTAAACCTGTATTATACACTTAAATATGACCATTATACAGTCAACAGATAAAAAAAAGCTGCTACTTATCATTCATGTTTTAAGTCATTTACCCGCAAATGGAAATACTGAAAATTAGTCTTGACCTTATATTGTCACTGTCAAAAATAAATGTTTCATGCCAAATTCCCACTCGTGTTTGCCTTTGTTGTTTGTTTCCCTTGTACCAATAACTTTTTATGATATTTTCCTTTCTGATGTTATGTTTAAAACCTGGAGATAAATGGTTCATATCATTGAGTGAAGTTTAAGCATGTTAATACATTCTGTGCAGAAACACTGGACAGCTTTTTTGTTATGGAAAATGCTGTATTATGAATTAACATTGGCACAATTAGGTTTGTTTGATGTACAATCAATTCACTTTACAGTACATTCTGTGAAGCGCTTCGAGGCGTCTCAAAAATAGGCACTACATCAAATGCAAGGATTATTATTGTTATTATTATTAATAGACATTGGAGCACACAAACTGTATTCAATTGAATCCTGCAAAAGGGAAACACTAAATTAAATGTTCCTGATTGCAGAAATAGTCAACCGCTCGAGATGCTATTTTATCGCCTCCTTAAGTTACTTGCAGTGCTTGGGTAAACATTACCGCCTTATGTTATCCATCAAGACACCACGAACAAAAAAAAATATACAACGTGGATAAGAGTGTGTTTGTTTCTTGGGAAATTCAAACCGTCCCCTTTTCCCTCTTTCTCCAACCACTGTTTGGGGGTGAGGGGGGGGGGGGGGAGTACCATTTTCAGAAGTTGCACAGTGAATTGCAATCGACCAAGGTTTTATTTTGTGTGCACTGTGTCTCTCTGACCTTTTCCCTCTCTGGAGCTCATGTCATTTGAACATTTAACCACAGTCATCTCTTTTCCGAGGTGCGTGAATAAACTTCCTGGGTTGACCACTTGGTTATGTGTTTTGTGTGTGTGTGTGTGTGTAAAGAGGATGTAAACTGAATCGAACTGAGGGGAGGAAAGAGGGAGAAGGAGGGAGGGAGGGAGGGAGGAGGGGATTGTAATGTTAGAGGTTGCATTTAGATGGGAACCCCCCACCCCCACACCAAAAAAAAGGGATCGATCGGAGGCCTGGTCCGTGATATGTTTCCGTGGCCTTTAGCAGATGTACTTCCTTCGTGTTTTTTGAACGCCATCATTTACATCCACAGAGAGAAAGAAACACAGAGAGCGAGAGAGAGAGAAATGTGTGTGTGTGTGTGTGTGAAAAAAACAACCCCAGTTAGTCTGCGTTTGAAGTGGATCACAGCTTAGAGAGAGAGAGAGGGGGGGGGGGGGGGGGGGGGAGATGAACAGAGAGGAGAGAGAGAGATAGATAGAGAGAGAGAGGAGAGAGAGATAAACAGAGAGAGAGAGATAGAGAGGAGAGGGGAGAGAGAGATAAACAGAGAGGAAAGAGAGAGAGAGATAGATAGACAGAGAGGGGAGAGAGAGATAAACAGAGAGAGAGAGAGAGAGATAGAGAGAGAGAGAGGAGAGAGAGATAAACAGAGAGAGAGAGAGGAGAGAGAGATAGATAGACAGAGAGGAGAGAGATAAACAGAGAGAGAGAGAGGGGAGAGAGAGATAAACAGAGAGAGAGAGAGGATAACAGAGAGAGAGAGAGAGATAAACAGAGAGAGAGAGAGAGACAGACACACACACACACATACAGAGACAGAGACAGACAGACACAGACAGACAGAGAGATACACATACATAGAGAGAGAGAGATAGACAGAAAGAGACAGAGAGAGAGAGAGAGAGAGAGAAGCGGTAACTGTAGCAACAGCTCAGGCGCCTGTGAATGAGGTGTCGGTTCAGTTACATTGTATCCAATCCACTGAGTGTATCAATTCGCCGCCGAGGACTCACCGACACACGGAAGGAAGTCCCTGATTTGCCTTCCAGGAGGGGTTTATATATATATATATATTGTTAGGGGGGTGTGTGTGTCTGTGAGTGTGTCTGTGGTGTTGTTGTTGTTGTGGTCGTCGTCGATCGCTTTGCTGCTTTCGAGGCGGAAATCCCAAAGAGTTGTCTGTGCAGAAGAACGACCAGAAGAAGAAAAAGAAGAAGAAGAAGAGGAGGAGGAGGAATAGAAGCCGTGGACGCAAGGGGAGGGGAAGGGAGAGGGGGAGAGAGGAAGGTTAGGAAGGGAGAGGGAGTGAGTGAGAGAGAGAGAGAGAGAGAGGAGAGAGGAGGTGGGGGGGGTGGGAGGGGGAGGGGGAGAGAGAGGGGGAGTTTAAAAAAAAAGGGTAGAGGAGATTTTTGCTTCGAATTCAGGCCTTCGATCTTCTCTGCCCTTCATCTCTCTGAAGCCTCGATCCATCCGATCGCTTCCCAAGGCTCGATCGTGCGATTTGGGGGTCTGCTCCCCCTCCCACCCCCCCTTCTCCTCCTCCCCTCCCCCACTCTCTCTCTCTCTCCCTCCCTCCCCCCCCCCCCCCCCCACCCACACCCAACACCACCACCTCTCCCGACCCTGTTGGGGAGGTTTATTCTCGGTGTGCTTGATTTTTTTTTAACCCACCCACCTCCTTCCTTCCTTCCTTCCTTCCTCCCTCCTCCTTCCTTCCTTCCTTCCTTCCTACCCTTCCTTCCTCCTCCCAAAGTGGAAGAAGATGACTCGACCGAGGCCGAGAGAATACAAGGCTGGAGATCTAGTCTTTGCCAAGATGAAGGGCTACCCGCATTGGCCGGCGAGGGTGAGTAAGGAGGAAGGAGGTGGGAAGCGGGCACTGAGGTCCAGGAAGAGAGGGACTTGAAGTCATGAGGATGTAGCTTTGGTTTGGATGTGGGAGGGGGCGGGGGGGGGGGGGGGGGGGGGGTTGGGTGGGGGGGGAGATGGGGGTTTTTTTTAGGGGGGAAATAAAGGATCGGGACCCTTGGACTTATTTTTGTGTGGGGCTTCACCATCAGGTCCTTTCCTGCTCTCGCTCCAGATCGTGGGTTGACATTTTGTGTGTAACATTCATTCACATCACAAAATGTATCAACGTGAGAGCGATGGGGGGAGATGGGGTGGGGGTGGGGGGGGGGGGGGGGGATTGGATTGGGGGGGAGGGAGGGAGGGAGGGAGGGGGTGCAGATGGCAAGTGTGTTCGTTGCATCGGGACAGTCGGATGTGGGTTTGATCCGAAATGCGTTGAAAGACAAAACCACATCGACACATTATCTTATATTCGGATCTCAATGTATTCGGGAGCGTTTCATTCATTCTCTCTTCCCTCTTAAACTCCCCCCCCTCCCCCCCCCCTCCCCCCCACCATCACCTCCCCTGAAAAAAATAAACACAGCAAAACGTAAAAAGGTTAATTAAAACCATTTAGGATTAGAAAATCGGCTTTTCAACAGTCCATAAATCCGAGTTAATCCCAATAAAGGTGTCAGATAACTGCTGCAAATACTAATTGTGGGGGAAAAAAAAGCAACATAGAATACGTAGTGAGAATGAATTGATTTATTTGTAACTCGTTCCCACATGACGACTGCACAGTATTGTTATAGGAGGATCATTAGGATCATAAATAAAAAATGGCTAGTTGGTTAACACACAGCCATATGTCTTTTTTAGGTGGACAATTATTGAAGTGACCAATCAAGCAATAAATGCCAGCCTTTACCCAAATGTTATTACCAATAAATATTGGTGCTAGGCCCCAGGAAAATAAATCTGGCGATGAAACATCACAACACGTACTGTACTGCCGCCTCCATAAAGAACTACATAAATGATAGTATTTGGGAATCATAATCAGCAATAAGTGGTTTGTTTTTTAACTCATCTTCGTTCTGCTTTGACCGGTGGAAAACAGTGGGCACGCAATGATGATGATGATGATAATAATAATAATAATAATGCTTGTATTTGATACAGAGCCTTATCAGTCTTTGAGACGTCTCAAAGCGCTTCACAGAATATACTGTGAAGTGAATTGACTATATTTTGTGGGCAAAACGCGGCAGCCAATTGGACACAGCGGTGCCCCTCAAACGGTCGTGGATTGAGTGATGGATTTTTTTAATGTTTTATTTGAGATTAAGATATCTTCCTGCTCCTTAAATCAGTATCATGGTGTCTGGCATGTCTCATTTGGCGTTGGGAGTTGGGTGGGGGTGGGATGTTTTTCTTTGTGGGTTGGGGGGGGTAAAAGAATTAAGGAAGAAATTGGGGTCTGATTACCAAGCATGAGATAAGTCACTGTAAACCTCTGTTGCCTACAGTTAAGCTCATTTAAATCAAGAATCAAACCACTTAACTGGCTTCATTGTAATAATAATCCCTCCAAAAAAACAAAACAATAATAAATTGGTCACTTCAATCCATGACCGTTTGTGGGACATTGCTGTGCGCAATTGGCTGCCGCGTTTCGCCCACAAATATACAGTCAATTCACTTTACAGTATATTCTGTGAAGCGCTTTGGGAAGTCTAGAAGACATGAAAAGTGCTATATCAAAAGCAAGGATTTTTATTATTATTATTCATTCTGCACATACAATGAAGAAATGGAGTACGCAGGGAAGAGTTCAGGGGCAATATTCTAAATGAATTTTAACGCACAGTTCAACTCTATTGAAGAACTTCTGGAAATGCCAGGGATGAGTTGTACAGTATATAAATCGCAAGGTCAGTTTGGAAAGAAACCCATAAGGTGTTGTTTTGGAGAAAAATCCTGGAGTGCGTGGTAGAAATAGATTCGGAAGGATATGTTTGGAGGCTGCTTTCAAGTGCTTGGGACTTTACCCTGTGTGAGGGGTATTATATAAATGCAAATTGTTGTTGTTACCTCTGTCTTGCCTGTTGACAATTGCTCAGTTGATACTGTGTTGTCCGTTCTCTGGAACTCCAAAATATTTAAGTTGAGGCTGTGGGCTGCTGAGTTGGATGTTGAACTTTACTCACTGCAGTCAGGCTGGTGTGTTTGTGCCCATCTTTCAATTGCAAAATAATCATGGGGGAATCTCTCGAACTCTGGTTTGACAAATGCCACAGGGACTGACAATAAATTAATCCATAAATGAGATAAGCTTGACGAATAGCAACATGCAACATCTCCTGTGCTGATTTACTGTTCCCAATAGAATTCATTCAAAAAAACAGGGACTCCAAGATATTTTTATATTCTGAAAACCGCCATATTCACTTCCCTATTACACTATAATAATACTAATAATTCTTGCATTTGATATAGTGCCTTTCCTGTCAGGAGGATGTTTCAAAGCACTTAACAGGATTTAATATACAGTGTAGTGACTGTGTATCTTGTAGGCGATACACTGGAATGAATTTAGTATAGTTATCTACCCTGTTGTTGTATTGCCTATTTAGCATGCTGATACTGTAAACATTTCTGTTTTATTCAACATGCTAATATACATTAAGGTTTTCGCAAAGCTTTTGTGGTTGGTCCACATGATTGAGAGGCATGGGTGTGGAGTGGTGAATAAGTGGAAAAGACTATCCAGGGAGATGATGCAGCCAGATAGTGTCAGAAAATTCCAAAGGGAATTAGGCACTACAGTATTTGGCAAGGAACAGTTTAGAAGTATGAGTGATACAGTGTGTGTAATTTGTTATTCACTTTGGGACTGGTCAAATGAACTGCACTGGCCTTGTTCAGCCCTGTAAGTTTTTATGTTCATATCTGCTGTACCTTCTTTTCTGGGCAAAACCACACACTTTGAAAGATATTTTGTGCTTAAATTATTTTAACTGCATGTCACTTTGCATTATTTTAAGTGCTACATTTTCAAACAGTTGTAACCTGCATCTGGGATACTGCATGTGATAAACGATAGAAGGATGCCTGAAGTGACATATGCATCAATTTCAACATGTTTGTAGGTTTAAACAGAGGAAACGTACATATATCGCCTTCCAGTATAATGCTGCCTTGCTTCTATAAGCACTGGTGTCCTGTGGACCCACGTTAACCTGAGGCGAGTTAAAAACCCAGAAAACGGCCGGTTTCCTATTCATCGGGTTGCCGCTTATGCACGCTAAACACAGGAAGCACTTCCAATGTCACGGTGTGAAGAAGTGCTACCTGCACATGTCACAACATGCAGGACATGAAGTCGTCTGTGACCTGATCAGTCAGTTGTTTGCTATTTCGCTTAAAACGCACCCTCTGAGTAATTGAACCAGGCAATTGTGTTATAACGAATCTCCCTGTACAAATGTATATAATATATATGATATTTATTGTTGATGTAATAGCCATTCAATTCAGTGAAGTTTTATACCGAAATGTGTAAAATCATTTAAAATATTATAAAATATTATACCTTACAAAGCAATGTTAACTAATACAATGTTGAAATTAGTGTTTGACCAGCACTGTTTATCTTTTGTATATATTCTTCCACGAATTATTGTGTTATATAATGGACAGGAACATCTTGTATATATTAGCTATTCAGTTCAATTAACTGTATAAGATTAATGTGAGGATAACTACAATTAACTCGGTATTCGAATTTCATTTTCCAGCAATCGTTGTTAATTTGAAAGTAAATTTTTCTCACCTGTTATGGGTGAGAAATCTATATTTTTATATATTGATTATATCAATGTCTTCTTATTCTCCTCAACGCTTGTCATTTATTCAACATGCTGTGTGAAACAGAGGCCTTCAGAATGACCGTTGTTCTCCCTCCTGGTGCTAAGTTTGACTTTACAGTATTCCCCCGGAGGCGGTTTGATTTGTGTCAGTTCTGACCCAAACAGCTTGCCTTTCCGATTTGTTTTCATTCCTGCCGTGTCATTAAATTGCACTAAGTTCATATACAAAAAAATTGTTACACTAAAAGCAGAGAGCATCAACGTAGGGAGGGGAAATCATCACTTTTATTTCAAGTTGCTTCCCCTGAAATCAGAATGAAATGCACACCCCTTGGGACAAATTTGTTCAGAACTATTGTAAGGAATTGATCAATGCACTGACTTCATTCTGCTGACATAAATTGAGCTGGGGACCAAGTGTGATTTACACTTTCAAATGCAAGTCACAACTGATCAGAAAGGGCAAGCAGCCTAAAGTTAATACAGTCTACCACCATCTATCCTTCTGCCCATAATTGCTTTATTTGGTGGTTTTTAGTCCACAGTTGTGAAAAGGTTCACTGTTTTGGTTTTATCTGTGGGGACAAACGCCAATTAGCTTTGCTGCCATTATCTGCAATGGCAGCAAGTCAGTCTAGAAGCTGGTATTGGGCGCAAAATCAGCAACGAAGATTTTTTTTAGCAGCTAAATAGAGGGTTTGAGTCATAGCCAGGGGTGTTCAGAAGACTTGCAACCTCTCATCAAATGCATTATCTCCACTGAGTTTGAAACCGAAAGAAAAAATTACCTCTTTTCTAAGGTTAAAGGTTATCTGACTTTTCTCCCAGCTGTCACCTTGCCCTTTGGAAGGCGGGAGCAACTTTTCTTTAGAGGCGATTTGCATTGGCTCAGAACTTATTTGACAAGCTGATTTTGCACCCAATGAAAATGTAGAAGATGTCAGATTGACAGAACAGAATCGAACACACTGGTGAACCCCACAGAGAGACCAAGCCACGATTTTAGATACGTGAGAGGCAATGTAAGATTTAAATAGAGTTGGTGCCTGTGTGCTTTGAACTGGAGCCCACCTTTAACAATTCCTTAAGAAGCTGACTTGGACATGACTAAAATAACGATGTGTTTTTTTTCATGACT